CTCCTGGTGCATGGAGCCTGTTTCTCCCTCTGCCTGTGTCTCTGCCTCTCTCTCTCTCTCTGTGACTGTCATAAATTTAAAAAAAAAAAAAAAAAAAAAAAAATCAAAAAAAAAAAAAAGAATCTGTGAAGACCTCCTTTTCTACAAACATAAGGCAAGAGTCCCAGTAGAAAAATAGGTAAAAGTTGAATAGGCATTTCATACAAGAAATAGCACATATGTCCTATATGGTGTTCAGCCTCATTAGTAATATGGAAAATACAAATCAAAACTGTGTTTTACATTCATTTGATTGACAGAAATTGAGGAGTCAGATGATAACAAGTGATGGAAAAGAGATGGATTAAACAGTATCTCTTAAACTATTAGTTGAAAAAAATACTACAACCAGTTTGAAAAAATACAGCATTATTTCATAAAGTTGAGCATTCCACTTCAAGGTATATACCCAAGAAAATCTTGAATATGTGTGCCAGGAGACAAATAAAAGAATGCTTATTATGCCACTAAAAAGTGTAATTAACCTGTCTTCAGAATAGATAAAATAATTGCAGTACTGACACACCTGTTGTATAGCAGTTAAAATTAACATTGTCATTTGCAGCAACCTGGATTACAGTTAGGGACATAATGTTGAATGAACAAGGCAAATCCCAGAAGACTACATCTGGTATGATACATTTTAGAAAGTTGAAAATCAAGCAAAACTATAAACAGTATACAGCTTACCCAATTTTTTTAAGCAAAGAAATTTTAAAGTTCCTGATAGTGGTTACCTTGAAGTGACACAGTAAGATGGAATAAGGGAAGGAGCACATTGGGAAAATAAAAGTTCATGAAAATATTCTTGTTCTTGAGTTGGAGTCATAGTATGATGTTTGTATAAGTAAACAAAAGGTCTCATAGCAGTATTGATGGTGTATCATGAACCAAAATCTAAGATTTATACTTTTGTATATACTTGATCTCTTAGAGAGGAAAAAGAAAAAGACGGGATTGCTTTCTGCTCCTGCCTAGAAAAGCCTAGCATGCGATTTTAGTAGCTGCTTAAGGAATTGAGTTATAGAGCAGGACAAGGAGAATTTGCTATACAGAGTTGAAACTGAAAATTGAAATTTTCTTTTCGATGTATTTCTTTAAGCTAAAGAGGATGGGGGCAACATATGTGTTATGTTATCCTGATTGCTGTCAATTGTTTTAATCATTCATACCTCATATAGTGAAAGTTTAAACTTGAGCTATCCAATACTAGCCACACGTGGTTTTTTTTTAACTTAATTTGAATTTTTATTTTTATTTAATTTTAATTCTTTAGTCATACAAGCAACATTTCACATATTTAGTAGCTGTATATGTCTTGCAGCAACCATACTGAGTAGCACAGACTTAGAACATTTCCATCATTGCAGCAAGTTATATTGGACAGCACTGGAACTCTTCATGAAAATCAAATACACATTTCAACTTTTTAAATACCTCCAGAGTTGTATTAGCTAGTCTATATTAACAAAACAATTATACTTTAGATGACTTTATAATTGACCTATGATTATAAAAGTTTGAATTGGTTTGATTTTTTGGCTATGATCTTTTTCCTCCTCTCATCATTCCTACCACTTTTCTAACACTGCTTATTGGTAATTTGACAAAGGATAATACAGAAAAGAAATCTAGCCTTATGTTTTATAATTACCTAATTGAAGGTACAATTCAGATGAAGTTATAATTATATTAAAAATGTAATTAACTCATACCTTTTTTGAGCTGTCAGAGGACTTGAAATGATGAAGAATAGAATTCTAATTCTTTAGAATAATCCTACTATCCCTGAGCATTAAGGAAGGTCACCTTTCTCATTTCTCTCATATCTTACCTCAGGTCCTACACACAACAGTTTAAATACTTCATACTAATATTGTTTGAAACTATTTATAAATTACTGGTTTATAAGATTTTAAAACATCTGTTATATATTTTTTGTTTATTTGCATTTTCCATATTAATTGTTAATGACAAATTGAAAAGCTTATTATGGACACATTTAATGCATTTATATTATTATTGCCTAATGAATAATTATACCGGGATTTTTTTTTTATGTATATACATATATAGTTGTTGAAGTCCGAAGAGGATTCCTCATATAAACCTGTGAAGAAAGCTTGTACTCAACTTGTTGATAACCTAGTTGAGCACATTCTTAAATATGAGGAATCTCTAGCTGGTAAGATATTTTATATATTGGTCATTAAGTTGATTTTATAAGATATTTTAAAATACTTTGGGCACATTTCTCAATTTTGCTTCTGGTTCTGCTTAGCCTAATAATTAAGTATTTCACTTTTAAATGAAGGGGTTTTTTTTGTTTGATGTTGCATCCTAGATTATATTGTTTAGGTTGACTAAGATTATCTAGAGTAGTATAATAAAAGCATAGGCATCATCTCTTGTACATCTTTCAGTAGCGTATAATTTTAGATGTTATGTTCAACAAACCTAAAAGTCCAGGGGCTAAATATATATTTAGCTAGTTGCACTCATCCAAAAACTGTTTGATATCTTTTAAATGATATAAAATATTCTCTCAAAATGAAATTGTTTTAACTATGATAAAAATGTTTTTAAAAGATTTGTAGTATATTCCTAATATCATTTATAATTGTTATATAAAATGCATTTAATCTTGAGCTAGATAAAGCAGTTAATATTTTTTAAATTGACAAATTCCTTACTTAATATTTTATATTATCTATTACATTATTTACCAGTCACAAATTTGAAGTCATTAATCAGAATATAAGTAAATAATTACATAAAGCTGTAAAAGTAATAATTGATAATCTATTGCTTAAAGCACCCAAGACTAATATTACTTCCCATATCCTAATGTACATTGATGAGGAACAGTAGGTAGTCTTGGTCATCCTCCAGAATTGGGGGCCTTTCAGAGGTACCATTATGGCGCCTAAGGAAGTTGTTGATATCCTTTATATTTTTTATGCAGTTTCTTTTCTTTAATTTTTTTTCATTTTCCATGTGTACCTCTTTTTCTTTTTATCTCCTAGTTCTGTTTCCCCTGTTTTTGCCTATCCTAGATTTTAAGGGTGATACTGTTGTCAATGCTGAAAAAATTGCTAATCTCTTCTAAAAATTAATTTGCCTCCTAAGAACCACTGTGTCTCCTAACTAGCAGCATTTTCCTCCCACTGGAACAGCAGTTTGTTTACCATTCTTGATGTAGTACTGGTCCAGCTTCTTAATTCGTCACTCCAGTCTTTTAACATTCTTCTACCACTGTAGCATCTTTTTCCCAGTCCTTTCAAACACAGTATCACCTAGCTAACTTGTTTTTGTCCCCCTTTGCTGAGTTTCTCATACTTACTTCCATCCATTTTTAGTAAGCAATATCATGTTTATTCCCAAAAGCCCATCCCTAAACTTAACTTCCATTCTACTTTTTAACTTTGGTCCTCCACCCCTTAGTGTAAAATTCTATTTCAATAGCACAACGTCTTCATTTCTTATTCTTAATATATGTAATATGTATAATAAAAATATGTAGGAAGTCTAGTATCATAAGAAATGCTAATCTTTTATTGAGGCATGTACTAAATCAATTCAGGGGATGATATTGAGTAATTTAAGAAATCTGTATAATTTTCACTGCCTTGTTATATTTTAGTATCTCATTTCTGTTTTTCCAGACTCTGACAATAAAGGTGTGAATTCTGGAAGATTGGTAGCTTGCATAACCACTTTGTTCTTATTCAGCAAAATAAGACCTCAGCTCATGGTTAAACACGCCATGACTATGCAGCCATACCTTACCACTAAATGTAGTGTAAGTATAGAGCTGTCCTATTTTTCTTTCTTACCATGTAGAAAGTATTTTAAATTTAGAATTCACATTGTGTCATCCACACTTCACTGATTAACTGTGTCATGTACTCGAATATATGTTCTAATATTTGTAGCAAGTTATCTACAGACATTATTTTTCTGATGTATTATAAATGAAGTTCAGGCTTCATTTCCTCCATAGGCTCCTCAGGTTAAACCCTCAGTAAATGCTTACTAAATGTTATAACTATTGTTAAGACCTCAAAGGTTGAATGAGGCAAAGTTCCTCTCATTGGGAAATCTACTGTCTTTTAGATTCTAAATCTGCTTTTCATTTGTCATTTCAATATATTTTATGAGTATATTGTATTTATTTTATAACACCATAGATATGTTGAATATGGAAAATCTAGTATATCAGAGATGTTAGTTGTTTTAATATTGTACATACTCTGTTTTTAAGATTAAACATGAAAATAAAATAATCCAGCATGGTGAGTTAAGTGACTTATTACAAACACTAAATTTTGAAATATTCTAAAAATTGTAAATGTAAATTGCTTTTTTACTTCCTACATTCTCAGTATTCCTAAGAAGCTAATTTTAACTATTTTCTCAACTAGATTTGTTTTGCAGCTATGGTCTGGTTTTTTGGTGATCTAAATTAACAAGTTCTAGATGAAAAACCTAAGAGGTTTTAAGTGCAGGAAGTACCAGAAGATAAATCTATAAAAACAACATATAATACTTCTAAGATCCTAATTCTATCTTTAGGGCTTGTATTAGATCCAGAAATAAATTGATTAATATGTAATCTATGCCCAATCATAGTAGCTGACATTTATTGAGCTCAGTGCCAAGTACTATGAAGAATTTTACATGCATTATCTCATTTACCTTGTGAAGTAGGTATCATTAGTTTTACAGATAAGAAACTAAAGCTTTGAGAATATAAATAACTTGCCCAGTTTCACACAGCTGACCAGACCCAGAGCTAGAATTCAACCCCACATCTGTTGGCTTCTAGGAACTGGACAATAATGTAACTTGTGTAAATAGACTTTGTTTGAACCAATATTACTTTGAAGCAAGATTACTTTGAAAGCATTTTGTAGAATTTGTATTTGTAGGTAAATATGCATATATATAATTTTCTTTTAAATCATGGTAATATGCCAAGATTGTAACAAGGTTTGAGGGAAGGCACATGTCACGTAACAGCATGAACACCCAGTCATCATGCTTATGAACTACAGAAGGATCTATAAATATATTTTTATTTAGTCCTGTGTGTATATTAAAAGGAAGGGTGAATGTTGGATAATTTTATACACACAATGTTTTATATAAGTAAAGCCATCTCCTATATGTTAGACACATTTAAATCTTTTTTGTTTTCTGTATCCTACTTCCATCTTTCTTCTTCATCATCTCAGGATGAACAACCTAGAGTATCCTTACATACTATACCCATGCTTCTGTAATTGTGCACACACACACACACACACACACACACACATAACTGGTTGACCAGATTTTTAAAAATCAAGTTATATATTTATACATTATCCATCTTATGGATGTTTTATGATTTATTTAACCACTTCCCATTTTAACAGGTTTTTATATTGCTTCCTATTGATAGGCAGCACTATACACATTCCTATTCATGTATCTTTTTTTTTTTTCATGTATCTTTAAATAGTGGTGCTTTTTTGGGGGGCCGGGGATAGATCCTAAGGAATGGACTTATTAGTAGATTAAGGGAGTATTTGGGTTTGGGTTTGGGTTTTTAAATAGATTTTTCCAGATTGCTGATGGATATGTTTTATAGCCTCTTTGGAAACCAGTATATGACAATCTATGTCATTTTTATACTCTTTGCCAGTCAGGTGTAAAGGAATAGTTCATTGTTGCTTCATTTTACCTTCCCTGATTCTAAGAAGGTTGAGCATCTTTTTTATGATATTAACCAATTGTACTTGATTTTCTGTGGTTTGACTGTTTATATCATTTGACCATTTTACCATTGAATTGTGGAGCTTTTTTCCTTTCCTTTTTTGAAAACTCTTTACTCTTAAGTTTTTGAGATATTGAAGCATTTCATGTTGCATCTTACGTCATTTCGAATGTTTTCTTAGTATTATATTCTTCTGATCTTTTCCTTCATGATTTCCATCTTTCCTTAAATTTTTCTTCTAGATATTAAATTATTTCTTTTATTTGATTTCTATACCTAAAATGTTAAGAGTAGTTTTAAAATTTTTTTTTAATTTTTATTTATTTATGATAGTCACACACACAGAGAGAGAGAGAGAGAGAGAGAGGCCGAGACACAGGCAGAGGGAGAAGCAGGCTCCATGCACCAGGAGCCCGACGTGGGATTCGATCCCGGGTCTCCAGGATCATGCCCTGGGCCAAAGGCAGGCACCAAACCGCTGCACCACCCAGGGATCCCAAGAGTAGTTTTAAAGTAAAATTTTAACTATGATGCTCAGATGAATTTATCTTAATGAAAACTCTTCATCTCTAGACCACTTTAATCCCTTATTGCTTAAAGCAGACAGGAGTGGGCAGGAAATGACAGGATTTCTATGTTACTTTAGAAGCATTCATCTTATTTATGTTTTTATTTAGTCCTGAAAAGATGGATGAATGTAAGGTGGGAACATTTTTATTCAGTGAGAGATAATAAGCTCAAAGAGACCAAAATGAGTGTCAGTAACCTGTTGCTAAGAATAAAGAGTGTTAACTTGACTAGATAACAACATGTTGAATGCCTTACTTAACAAAAATAACTAATAATTTTGGTTGCCTTGGGGCAGGAACTGGGTGACTGGAGGATAGTGGGTGAGAAACTTTTTTTTTTTAAAGAGACTTTATTGTAAATTCTTTACTAATAACCTTTTGGGTTTTTTTTTTAATGTTCCACCTATTTATTTAAAATTGCTTAGTTTTTAATCAAAGTTCTAAACTTTTTTTAAATTAAAATTTTACTATTTTAAAATTTAAAATAAAGTCCTATACTTAGTTTTGGGAGTCTGTATTTGCATCTATAATAAAAAGCATTAATACAAGGCTTCTCAGCCTCAGCACAATTGACACTGAGGGCTGAATTATTCTTTGTTGTCAAGAACTATTCTGTGTATTATAGGATGCTTGACAGTATCCCTGAACTCTATCCACTGGATATATCAAAAATACCCCCTAACTCCCCTAATGTGACAACCAGAAATTTCTCCACATATTGCCAAATATCATGTGGGGACAGACTCCGCCCTGCAACTGAGTACTACTAGGTTAACATACCCCAGTTTGAAAAATACTAATCGTAAAAACAGTATCAGTCTTGGTAAAATATTCAGTATTTAAACACCTTTGTTCAGAATTGGCTTGTGTTGCATTTTAGGGAAAAAAAGAATAACTGTAGCATTGTGATTAAATGACCCAAAGGTTACATGGTAAGTTAGTGGCAGAGCTAGAATCCAAGTTCCTGACATTGTCTGATGTTCTTCCTTCCATACCTTAAAAAAGCTCTTTTCTAAAAGTCTTTTTTTTTTAACTGAAACTTTACATATGTAATACCTCAGTCCCGAAATACATAAAGGTATATATAGTTTCTTGTTAGATTTTGGTGTTTTAAAGCACTAATTTTATCGTTGTAGACACAAAATGACTTCATGGTTATCTGCAATGTTGCAAAAATCCTAGAGCTGGTTGTACCACTGATGGAGCATCCAAGTGAAACTTTCCTTGCCACTATCGAAGAAGATCTAATGAAGCTTATCATCAAATATGGCATGACTGTAAGCATTCAGTTTACCCTATTTGTAATGATTATATAAAAGACCTTTGTCTTTAACTTTTGTCTAAACCATAACATTTTCTGTATCTTTTAGGTAGTACAACATTGTGTGAGCTGTCTTGGGGCAGTTGTAAATAAAGTGACACAAAATTTTAAATTTGTATGGGCCTGTTTCAATAGATACTATGGTAAGTTCAGTGCCTAGGCTTTAAAATTAGTCTGCTACATCCTGTAGTATGTCTAGCTCCTTTTTAAAAACACAGCTGATAAAGACAGCATGGATGGAATTTTAAGAGGTGTGATTGTCCTCTGGTTCTTTCTCAGAAGCAAATTTTCTAGTACCTTTTGTGTTTCCTTAAGAACTCAATATAATTACTTCAGAAATCTACCTCATAAGTAAATGTAAGTTTTTTGCCCATTATGTAAAATAAAACTTAAGTATTTTTTTTCTTACATTAATTCTTTTAGGCTGTAAGGCATGCCCTCGTAATTCTACATGTGCATGACACTTAGAACCATTAATAAAATTTAATCCTAACAACTTAGCAGTAATTATTTGAAGATAATAATTCAAGGATAAAAGGTTTATTGTAAATAAATACTACTTATCTTTACTAGGTGCCATTTCAAAATTAAAAAGTCAGCACCAGGAAGACCCAAATAACACCTCACTTTTAACAAACAAACCAGCACTTCTCAGATCTCTTTTCACTGTTGGAGCATTATGTCGGCATTTTGATTTTGATCTAGAAGATTTTAAAGGCAACAGTAAGGTAAAGATTCTAACATTAATTATTTTAGTATGCTCTAAAAGAACTGTGTGACCCCGTGAACTGAAAATTACTGATGACCCAGGATGAAAGCAGTATTAGAGTAGTCTGGTTTAATGAGAATTCTGAAACAGTGCTACCCAAAATACGATCCTTAGACTGGCCTCTGATCCAGGAACTGTTTTTACTGGTTTGTAACAAGATTACGCAAATTCTATCAGCTTTGTAACAGTAGGCACCCTGGGTAAGCAGCTTTTTTTTTTTTTTTTTAACTTTCTCAATGAAGGAGCAGTATGTTATTTGTATTCTGACACAAACTTCTTTGTCACAGACCTTTATTTTGGATGTCACTTCTAAAATCAATGGATTTATAAATATATTGGTGATTTATTCTTCAGTAAAGTTTTTATGTGGAAATTTTCATTGTGTTTAGGTTTTTTTCCCTTTATAGTTGAAACTGATCAAAGTTACTCTTCTTCATACACTTTAATGTGTTCCCCCCCCACTTAGGTTAATATAAAGGATAAAGTACTTGAACTATTGATGTATTTTACCAAACATTCAGATGAAGAGGTACAAACGAAAGCTATCATTGGTCTAGGTGAGTTAAGTCTAAATTTCTTTATGGTTTTGGTTGTTTGAGAGGTTGAGCAAATTTTACAATAATGTGAGTCTAAACTGTTGTTTTATTTAAGTATATTTCCATTCACAGTAGGATTTAGTATATAGAAAATAGGACTAGGGGTTAAGACACCTGGGTTCCATTCTTGGCTCAGCCGGTGACTTTCTGGGTGACCTTCAGCAAGTCATATAACTTCTCTGTTCGTCAGAGAAACTTTATTTTGGTAACATTAGCAAGTTTTATAAGTTAATATGCATGAGCAATTGGTTGATATTAGTCTTTTGAACAAAAATGATTAATAAGTTTTTAGTTGCCCAAACCTCGCTAAATATTTACTGATTCCTTTCATTAAACTTAAATCTTAAGTGTCTTATTCCTCCTTCATCCCTTTCAGAAAATTACCTATAGCAAATATATTAAACATTCATATATCACTTACATTAGGGAGTTACATTGTTACAGTGTTACCTTCAAGCCAAATGTACCTTTGAATATTCATCCTGGACATAAGTTATATAAAGTGGCAAAACTTAATAATGTTAATTCAGAGAACAAATAATATAAATTTTGACTTGAAAAAGTAGCACTATATAGAAAATAGTGCCTCTAGACCAGTTAATAAATGACATCTTACTTGAGCCATGTTACATTATACTCTGTGACCTTGGATTAGTTATCTGATCACTCTATGCTTTGAGTTTAGTTTGTTATATGGCATCAGTAACACTTGCTATATCATTAAGGATCTTCATCTTGTCTTACATAAATAAGCATTTTGTACAAAAAACATGAATATTATTATTTTGCTATTTATTAACTTATGGTTATAGGATTCAGCATTGTGGCTTCTAATTATAATGCCATAAAAAATAAATGGACGATATTGTTAGCTCTAGTTTATTGTAGAATTATTGTTTCATCAACTGGATATTTTTTTTTAATTATTTTTTTAATAATACCAATGTAGTACCTTCTGCTAGGGATCTGAAAAATGTTTGCAGACATTACCTCTTAAATCCTGAAAACATCCCTTTGAGGTAGGTGGGTGGTAAATATTATTGTCCC